TTTTCATCTTAGGTATTGAGTCTTATGTGAAAATTATGTAATTGAAAACCATGTACGCGAAGTGACGAGTACGTACGTGGTTTATATGTGCAAATTATATTGGTTAAAATTTGTAGATACCCTTATGTATTAAATTGGAAAATTGTTGGAATTTATTAAATCCCTTATTTGTTATGCCTCATTCCTTGTTTGCCGAGGTTTTTTTATATGATAATTTCGTGTGATTGCCACTTGACCTTTATGTGAACTCTGTGATTGTTTGAGATGCCATTTTTATGGAAAAATACTTTCATTATTGATTTTATCTACAGATAATTTAAATGGGAAATTTTAGTTAATAAGATGAATAAATCTATTTATTTTCTGAAGTTGTGATTTAAAAGAGGTGTTATTACTTGATGAATTACCTTTCAGTTCATGTTGTTGAAAACTTGGTATTGAATTATAAATAGCGTGAATCATATTGAGGCAAAGCGCCAAATTGTAAAATATTATTCGGTTGAGTTGTTCACTCCCGAATATTTTGTTAAGATGTTGTGCACATTATTGCCGAGCCGTGGGCTCCTTATTGTGAAAATTAATATTATTGTTGATTTATGTGGCAAGTTGTAATATTTGAGCACTTGAGGTGCAAATTGTGATATGTTGTGATATTTGAGCACTTGTAGTGCAATTTGTGAATGATGTGATAATTGAGCACTTGAGGTGTAACTTGTGAAATGTTGTGATATTTGAGCACTTGTAGTGCCCCTGTTGATGCATATTTACTTTTGGGACTACGAGGCGGTACCTCGAGAGATCCCCTATTGAGCATTTACTTTTGGGACTACGAGGCGGTACCTCGGGAGATCTCCTGTTGAACATTTACTTTTGGGATTACGAGACGGTATCTCGGGAGTGCCCTTTGTTGATATTTTTCTATGGATGTACTTTCCTTTGGTTATTTTATTTTTTCGTGATATGTAAATTCTTTTCTTCTTCCGTGATGTACTAGTTGACTTTATTATTTTGCATTTTGTGCTCCTTGTTGTATTGTATTGGCTTTGGCTTTTTAGTACGAAACTTTGAAGATTTATATTTCTGGTTCTTTACTGATTTTCCATGACTGGGTTATTTTAAATAAAAGAAGTTACTATTATATTTTAAATTAATTAATTTTTACATCAAAATTAGTAGATTATCTCATGCTTTAATTTAAGTGCAATGTCATTTTCTTTACTCAAACTATTTCTAATGTAAGTTGATCGTGCAGATTCTTATATATATTGATATTTTTGGCACGTGAGTTGTCCGTGCAGTTGTGATAGAAATATGGGTACGAGGTGCCGTGGAAATATGAAAGCGGGCTGAGACCTTATTTTTATGATTATGAAATAAGGTATCACAAGGTGACTTTTATTTGAAAGAATTATATGCGAAAGATATTTATTTGAAGGGAGTATATTTGAAATATATATTTATTTGAAAGGATTATATTCTAAGAATTTTATTAAAAAACTTATATTTGAAAGATTTATACTTGAAGTACTTAAATTTGAAAGACGTATATTGAGGGACATGATTGATTGGTTGTTATTGTGATCCTTATTCATTTGAACAATATTTATAGTGTTCTTGATACCTTGCTGATTATTGTTGCCTTCACTGCTATTTGTTTTCTATTATTTTTGTATGTTATATTGCACATGTTATTTAACTAGTGAGTATCTTGACTGTATCTCGTTACTACTCCACCGAGGTTAGTCTTGATACTTACTGGGTACCAACTGTGGTATACTCATACTACACATCTGCACATTTTTGTGCAGAGCCAGGTATTGGAGATATCGAACTCGGCAGAGTTAGTGTGTTGATCACAAGGATTTCAGGTAGAGCTTCTCGGTCGTCGCAGTCCCTTGGAGTTTTTTTATTTTTATTGTACTGTCACTCTTATTCGAATAATATTGTATACTTGATCCTTGAGATCATTGCATGTGATCAGTTAGAGTTCGTGATTCAGTATTACCAGTCTTGGGAGATTGTATGTAATTCTTTTTGCTGTTGGTTTCGATTATAAAAAAAATGGCTTGAATTGTTATTGTAATCGGCTTACCTAGTCTTAGAGACTAAGTTCCATCATGACGCCTGTGGTAGAGAAAATTCAAGAGATATCACATGATGAATGCTTTACTTTTGTTCACATATACAGAGAAGTTAATATGGTGGCCGACCTATTGGCAAATTTGGGAGAGAGTTTGAAGGATCTTGTGGTTTTGAACATCTTGACAAACTATCCACACCATGTTAGAATTGTTGTATTGTTGGATAGATAAGGCATACCAAACTTTAGATTCAAGACAAAAAAGGAATCAGTTTGTTGTTAATGATGTTTCTAATGGATAAAACCTTTTTTTGTATATTCCTAGCATCAATAGGATTATCATCTTTTTGTGGAATATTCTATAGTCAAAATGAAATGGAGAAGATCTCCCAAACTAGGCAGATTAGATTTGAGCAGCAGACCTCAAGGATGATGCATATCATTCTTCATTATGTACTGGAGGCTAAAGAATACATCTTACTCCATGTTTTACTGCTTTTCGATTATATACAGGTAGGGGTTCATGCCTAAAACCCCCCATCGCCATGATGTATGCTTTGAATTAAAAATAAGGTCTTTGAGTCTAGTTTTAATGCTTCAAGTCATTCATTATTTGGACATTTTTACAAGGAGTTATGGTATTTTTAGTAAAAGGTATTCAACAGAGAAAAACTTGGGACATGAGGTACAACTTGCACAGCGCGAGGTACAACTCATGATAGCACTTGCACCTATTAAATAGCAGTGGCGGGCAACATCCCATTATTTTGGAATTTTGAGCTAGGATTTGGTGCTTTCATGGTGGATTCGACCTTTGGGGTACCTTA